AGGATAGAACTGATTTCAAGATGTCTATTTTTTGCGCTTTATAAATTTTTTGGAACATGAATTCTACAATCTTACATATTTCTTGTCTCTTCACTGTTGTGGTTCGTGTTGGGATCATTTTCAAATGTAGCGGATTTTATGACTTATATTTAGTTATTAACGGCTAACCCTTGAGCAGATTTATAGTCATATCTCAGGTTAATCAACCCGTATCGCCACCTTTAAGCACACATAAGGTAACACGGCCATAAATCTCAATCTTTGACATCACCCGTTACTATCTTGTCATTACCTTTGGCAAATCGGCGATTTGTGATCCCTTTCTCTGCTGGTTGTACCGAATCATAGTGAAACGAATTCATTGATCTATGAAACTGGTACTTGATAAGAAAATTTTAGTCAGCGCTTGCATCCGCACCCGCACTTCCAAATTGCAACGCCGAAGGATTGCGCCACTGCTCCTGTTATCATATATTTCATCATCGCCGTCACTGTCATCTGCAAGAGTGAAGCTTCTTCATGTTCTGCTTGCAACACTTCTAGTTAAGATGTGCAAGATCTGTTTTAACATTGGTGCAAGGGATTACCACACCAAGGCAGACGAACATTTTTAACATCAATTTAATTGTGAGCTTTGTTTTCTTTTGAATTAAGTGAAAACAAAATCATATCTATTTTTGGCATTTCTGTTTTTCAAGTTTGCCCAAATGGAAGCTCTGATTCCAGTGATAAACAAGTTACAAGATGTTTTTCATACGATCGGTGCCGAAACCATTCAACTTCCTCAGATAGTGGTGATTGGAGCCCAGGTAAAGACTGACAGCCATTAATCAAATTGAATGAATCTTTTGTTTTGTATAGAGTGCTGGAAAAAGTTCAGTGATCGAAAATATCGTCTGCCGAGATTTCCTTCCTCGTGGACCCGGTATTGTTACTCGACGACCGCTGATTTTGCAGTTGATACAAGTCCCTCAAGATTGTGAGGACGCAAACAGTTTGTCAAGTGCTGGTACCAATGCAGATGGTAAATATTTTGTTATGAAGTATCAAGATCATTAGATCGATCAATGTAAACTTTCTGCGTATGAAGGTCCCCTCCTCAGAAAACAGAAGTTGTAATATTTGAAGAATGAAGATTACCTTTACTTTGAAATTTAGTATGAACAGAACACAGATACTGTTCACTGATCTGTATGTTCACCTTATGCTCGAGAAGCAGAAAAGCAATTGAAAGACAACGTTTGCTTTAGTTTTGTACACATGAATTATCTCTTTCCGCTGCATTTATATACCTCATGGATGACGGGCTTTCACTGCTTCTATTATTTAGTGTTTAGATCCGTCAGCCAGGGTTGCCATGTATTGTCTTAGGGCAGGAAGAGCATATATATATTCCTGTTTTTCCTATACTTAGGTTCCTCGCTTTGATTCCCATACTTAGTACTTTCGAGGCATGAAAGAAGGAAAGTAAAGTTTGTAACCGTTCGGATGTTGGTCTCCCTTTCACTCTCTGATTGGGGACCATTTTGGCGCCCTTTATTTCATAAGACTTATGGTGATTTCCGTTTCTATGCCATCAGTCAGGAGTACATTTTTTTAAGGCAGAGTCTACAGCTCTGTGGAAAGCACAGTGTGTAGTCTCCTGTTTCCATGCCTCCACAGTGCTACTCATTTATCAACCTCAGAAGGCTGATAGATGAGCCACTCTTGTGGATTCCTATACTGCTTATTTGGTGGTCATTCAATTAGAACTAAGTTAACTGTCCAGATTTTTGACCTCACTCTTCGCTTTTCTCGTATATTTTAATTTGAAATAACGTGGTCAAAGGTGGAACAGACGAATTTATTGCTATCTTCTTTTTCATATTCGTCTTCCATGATCGCTTCTCCTTTTGGGTCGCGGATTTATTTCTGTCTGCGATGAAAATTTTTTGATTCGATCGATGGTGGCTCTCAAATAAACTGATGTCAAGATATTGATAGAAGATCGTCAAGTTCCCTGTAGCCTAAGAATTGTCCATCTTCACGGGAAAAAGTCAGCAATTGGTTCAACAAGCCGATTAAAATGCATGCAAGTAGATTTTCTGTTAGCCGACTAGTCCTCGTTATGGATGCGCCATGAACACAGGTCAACTAAGTAACTGACCATCTAGTTTCTCCAGCGTATTCTCGGATGACGGAGTGGACGTCTGTGGTTCCGTGGAACTCAGTTTGTAATTCTTGATTGCCACCGGTTGTCTCGTTGGCGATCCATCTTATTGGCTCACCTTCTGTTAGGGCCGCAGAAGACAGAAATCACGTTTGTTAGTCAAGTTTATTGTCGAATTTGTGTACTTTGGAATAGAATTCCAGAGGGAAACCTTAGCATACAAATTGAGACTGACATTGTCATAAATGCACAAATTCAGCGCAATCTTTTTTCTGCATCTATGGAAACTTTATGGAATTTATTATAAATTAATTCAATTTGTGGGATTTGATATGATACAAGGTTGATTAACTCCTCTGAAACAAAAGTAAATTGGTGTCGATCGACTAAGCTAATCCCGACGTGCATTGAGCGAGCTTGATGGTTGATTGGTTGTTGATTATAAAGAAGATATAGTTATTCTTGTTGCTGCATCATATCGGAATAGTATCGGCATGAAGTTGGAACATACTGATTACTATGTATTTATAGTTCATTGCGCAGTGTTTTGGTTTAGGTTGCTATATAGGTTCGTTAAGATATTCGTTCTTCCACGTTGTTAGATTTTTATGTAATGGTCCTCAAAAATCTTTCAAGCCTATCTGCTGTTTTATCTTTTATCTTTCAACGATGCCGCATGATTTGATGCGGTGATTTGGCGAAGCAACGTGGTGTTTCATGTGCTAGTAAAGAGTTGGAGTGCCTATGAAAAGGTTGGTTAGATAGGCATCTGCCTTAAATGACCTATGGTCACTAGTTTTGGAACTTCGATGAGGCTGCTGTTGCACTTTTTCTGCAGTCTGAAATTTAGGTGCAATTTAAAAGTTAAAATGTTCGTCTTTAG